CTCTTCCAGGAAGCCTTCCCAGCTCTCCTCCTCCTCTGAAATCCTACTGACTCAGGATCTAGGATGTCAAGAGACTCTAAACTAGTGGTCTTCAGTGTTATGTGGAAAGTTAATATACAAAATAATCAGAAAGTCCAGCTGTCGTGAATTAAGTGTTAGCATATGTCTGGGGTGTAGATCCCATCTGTTCTTTGTGTAGATCCCCAAGGGAGGGAAGGATCTGAGAACTGTAACTTGGAACCACTAATCATGGCCACCACTTTTGTTACAGAAAGTAGCAAGCAGATTCTCCTTTATAGATTGCTCCTTCCTCTGTTTGTCATCTGCTTATTTTTGCCCGGTGCAGTGGGAACCACTTACAATCTGTCAGCTCATCTGACCCCCAGCTCAGGCCAGCACGGTAGAGTATAACTGTCCACACCGGGCGGGTGAGTTCAGTTGGACCGTGGGGGCTGTGTATACTGGGAGGGCCTGACGGAGGCCCAGGAAAATGGGCAGCGAGGGACAAGATAATAAAAGTCCATCCGTGTAGGCAAAGGGAGACTGGGAACCGCTGAGACAGGAGAGATTTGGCACCCCACATTTATGGGCTCAGTCTTACAGCAAAGGGGAGAGCAGGTTGGGGGGGACAGAGGCGACTGGCTGACCTGGCGGGGGCCTGTTCACAACGAGCAGACGGGCAAGGGTGAGGCCGATCGCAGGCAGGAGGGGCGGGGGTGGGGGGCTGGAGAGTCGGGGCTGATTTGAGAGTCATGGGATGGAAGAGAAACGGTGACTGGGAGGACTGGGAAGAGTCTCTGGTGTGGGTGTCGGGTACGCAGCGGCGCTCTGTCCGTGAAAACAGATATGAAAGTGGCTGCGCACTTGTGGTGTGAGCGCTGCCGTGTAGGTGTGTCCTGTTTTAATTTAAAAATAGAGCGGGAAACACCTCATCCAGGACCCCAGAGTGGCTCTCGGAACTTTGCTTAGGACTTGGGAGCTGGTTTTGCTTACACCGTGCAGGTGCGTGTTGTTCGGAAGAAGAGGGGAAACGAGGTCTGGGTTTTGAGCCGGGCTTCACGAAGCGGGAGGACTTGGCCGATGGTCACCACACGCACTGCCATTGATTAAGTTCTCACCATGTTTCACAGTGAGAATAAAGTGTAAGGCACACTTTATTTTTAGTATCTGAATGTCTCTGAAGCCAGGATGTGTCATACAAACAGTGACCTGTCATAATTATTTAACTGGCAGTGTTTTCTTTCTTAGTTCATAAAATATAGTCCAGAGTCTTAGATTCCAGAACTAGGGTATGGTAGGGCAGGCCCTCTGCTGGGCCCTGGGCACCACTCCTCCTGGGACCCTCGCAGCAGGTAGAAGTTACCCGCTGCCGTCAGCCCTGCCTCCCAGACAAGTGGAGGGACACGGTAGGGAGGTCACCTGCTCAGGGTCACAGAAGTGGTTAGGGGGGCGCTGGGGATTTCTACCTATTCCACTTTAAACCTGGGGAATCTTAGTTCAAAGCAAGACCAGGTCTGGGCCCTGGAGGGTGGTGGCCCTTCCTTTCCAGAGCCTGGGACGAGGTGGACAGTGAGCACCACCGCCGGGCTCACCATCTTTCATCACTCCCTCCCGTCACCCAGCACCAGCCCCCGCTCTTGGCCCTGAGCCCTGGGATCCCTTCCTCCCTCCGCAGAGAACTCTGGGTCCGACATCTGCGCTGACCTCCCTCCTCCAAGAAGAGGAGGGGCTGGAATGAGATCGCAGGGAAAAGGGGGAAGAAATTCCAAGCCCAGCTGGTTTCTCTCACACAAAGCAGATTTGCTTAAATGGGAATTAGGATTAGTGCTGGATTTTGCCCCTCCTGGCAGACTGGTAATAAACTAATCTCCTCTCAGGCGGCGAGAAGGCAGAATTCCTCCGAAGACGGCAGGCAGCTCCAGGCCCGGAGTTCGGCGCCTGGAAAGTCATTTTGTTATTGACGGGCCTACCTGCGCCGCCTGACACGCAGCCCCCAGCTCCTTCCCGTGTGGCTGCGGCCTTTCATTTCGTTAACGTGTGACATTCACCCAGGCTGCGTGGCTGACAGGCATGTTTGACATTAATACGTGTTCCTCAAGGTCCCCGGAGCTCATAAAAGCTCATTATCAGTTCTGAGCCCATAAATGTAGTGGCTGGCCCAGGTGGGCCTGAGTTCCTCAGAGATGCCCCTAGGGCGGTGAAGCCTTGGCCATCTGCGGAAGCCAAGAAATCGATTCCTCCTTTTGTCTAGGGGACTCGTCCTCCCAGGCCACTGGGAGGTGACGAGAAATGCCCTTTGTAGACAGAACCCTGGGTTCCAATTTGCATCCAGGAAAAGGGGCTCCTTCTCCCCCGCTGCGTGAGGGGAGGTGACCCTGCATTTTGGGAAGGAGGCCTGTCTGTGTTTATTCCGAGGCACGGCGTGCAGGGCCTCGGCCTAGCCGTCCACTCCAGGCTTTGGAACTGCACGGACGATCCCATATGGAGCTGTGGGGGCTGTTGCAAGGGTGGAGTGGCCGGAGGCAGAAACACACCACGTACCCACAGTGAAGAGGAAAATGTACCGTGGTCCACATCAACTGCAGGGCACTGTGCCGCCATGAGAAAGACTCCGGAGGTCTGTGTAGTCTCTCAGTTGTGGGTAGACATGATGTCTCTGATAAGTGGCATTGTAGGACATCTGTGGTAAGATCCCATTTGTGTAAAGTCACACTGTCTGCATGTGAGCTTATGTTGGCACATGTTCACACAGATGTGGTTATACAGAACGAGATCTAGAAGGTCATGGTACATGGATAAGGAAGAACTTTGAATTTGTAGTTAATGTAAATTGTATGATATTTAGTATCGAGCCATGTAATATGAAGAACAGAGACATTTATTAAAGAAGATACGAGAAACATGGTACAGAAGATAACGATACCTCCTCTCTCCCCTTCAAAGGAGGCACCCTGGGACCTCACACAGTTCTCCCGGTCCCCATCCGCTGCCCCCTTGTATTTTTCCTGAATCTCATCAATGGTCTGAGATCTCTTCCCTCTCAAAGGTGACGTTAGTTTTTAGAAAAGCCGCATGTTGCAGGGCACCAATCTGGGCCGTGGGGGACCGAGTGGACCACTCCCAGGTGCTCTGCTTGTTGCAGAGAGTGGGTCACCTGCAGCGGACTCTCCACCATCTCGGAGGCATTTGTGCCGCACTCACTGAATCATCCCCGAAAGCCTTCTGATGCATCCACGGAAGAATGTTTAACCTTAACGCAAAATTTTTTTCAGATTACTTATTTATTTATTTTTAGAGAGAGGGGAAGTGAGGGAGAAAGAGAGAGAGAAACGTCAATGTGTGGTTGCCTCTCAGGTGGCCCCCACTGGGGACTTGGCCTGCAACCCAGGCATGTGCCCTGACTGGGAATTGAACCTGCTACCCTTTGGTTCGCAGCCCACGCTCCTTAATGCAAAATCTGATGCAGATTCATTGCCCTACAGTCGTTTTGAATGCGATGTCCACACAGCACACATGCTCACTCAACAGTGTCTACTGCCCCCACTGACTAAGTAACAGTGAAGTTGTCATTGTTCACAAATGTGCATTCCAGTCCACTCTCCTTGGCTGCCAGGTTACACTGATGTCATGCAAACCATTCTTGTTATATGGCAACAGCTGGGCTTTTTCAGGACAGGCCTCATACACACACATACACACACACGGGATACATATAGGATGTATGCACACACATGTGTTTATATGTATCATGAATCCCTCTGATTGCTGTCTTAGTCCTGAGGTCCCCCTGCTGACACTGACCAGGGAACTGAGGTGGAGAGAGGCCCAGTCCTCCGGCCAGGCCCTGCTCCCCATCGGTTAGCGGGGTGTTCTGAAAATGTCCCCTGGGGCTGTGGTGCACTGACGCTGGGCCCGTGCAGCAGACCTTGAACTCATTGCCCACTCCCCCCCACGCACACACACTGCTTGACCTCTCTCACTGCAGAGATGGCACTTGGAGCAGATGTGACTTCCCAGGGACCTGAGTTCTGGTCCCAGCTCTGTCCCATTTCAGCAGCAGGACCCTGGGCAAGTTATTTAATTCCTCCTGAGCTTGTGGTCCTCTTCCCTGAAGTGGCAATACTTTCTCACAGCAGTGGAGAGGGCGTCGGGATTATCGTCGTACTCGCCTCAGGCGGCCTGACACGGGACCAGGGCCTGCTCTGTGCGGCCTGCTCCCTGAGGGCAGAAGGAGTCGGGAGGGGGTCGGCGAACTTGGCTCTCTCTGCCTGCTGTACGTTTTGCTTTTGTGTCTCAGCTGTGCCTGTGAGTGACCTGGTCCCCCGGGACTGGCCTAAGCCTTGGCAGGCAGGTACGTGCCCTGGACATGGTGAAGCCAATCCTCCTGTGGCCTGCGGACTCAGACAGACAGAGGGGAAGAGGGGAGAGGTCGGACTTTGGCCTTTGAACTCGGGGCTGAGTTGTTTTTTCCACCACCAAAGACCCCTCCTCTTTTTTCTTATCTCTTCGTGGACACCAGATCTTGAAAGTCTGGCTCTGCCCCAAGAGCCTGCATTCATTAGACAATGATTAATTCCCTTTTGCCTTTTCAAAATTACTCAGAAATCCTTCTCACCACCTGAGGAAAATGGAGTCCCCGCACCAAGTTGACGATATTCTAGCTAGAAGCAGAGAAGCTGATGCAGCCTTGTGAGGAGCATGTTCAGTGTCATCACTCGGACACGGCACAGGCTCCGGGGCTGATTTTAGAAGACTGAAAATGCGTCTCAGTCCGCAGGCACTGGACACGCCACCCCGCAGGCCTGTGTGGGCCCGGGGGGGCTTAGCTCTGTCTTTCTGGCCATGGAGTCCCTGTCTGGCCACTGTGCCTGCAGAGGTGGAAGGAGGGGGCCGACCCCTCAGGGAGTGGGTGCCTGTCCAGACTGGGCTGGACCGCAGAAGCCCCACTCCCCACTAACCCATGCCTTCTTAAAAGTTATTTCTCTCTCTTCTCCCTCTAGAGTTTCTCCTGAAGCCACTGTCAGAAAGAAACCTCAAGAGAATCTTGACATCCCTGAAAGGAAAAGCTACTCGTTGAAAGAGGTATGATTTTGGCAGCATGGTGGAGTGGCATCTCGATGTAGTCACATAAGAAGGTCTGGTCTCCTGTGCACCCCCTGCCCTCCAGAGCCCCCCTCTCTGAGTGAGAGGGCTCTCAGCTCCAGCTGAGGAATGCAGGGCAGGCGAAGGGCGGCCTGACTCTTGTCCCCGCCCTCAGATGTTTGTTCAGGGATGGGGAGCAAAGGTTCAGGAGAGAGAGGCTGGTGCTCAAGTGGGGTCTTAGCAGGCTGGTGGCCGCCCTGTGGAGGGGCTGCAGGTCGTGGCTGCTCCTGAGTCCATCCAGGAAGCGAAGGTCAGAGGGTTGGAGAGAGTGAGCTGTTGGAGGGAAGGCAGAGGTCCTGCCGGCTGGTGGAGGCCTGGCCTCGGTGAGGACCCCTCCCAGGCCTCCCCTCCCCCACACCCACCCTGGTCTTGGGATTGGGAGACGGAAATACCTTCCTAAAGTGACTCATCCACCTCCTCGTCCCAAGGCTTTTCTGGACAGAGTTCACATTCCATGATGGAACTGAGAATGAAAAGGCCCCAGTGAACTTCTGGGGCTCCGGAGCTTCTTGGGCGGCTCTGACCCCAGGACGTGCGTGGGTCTGGAGGCCCCATGGAAGGCTGTGGAGAGGAGCCCGGACACCTCGCTCTAGCCCGGCCCGCGCCACCCTTGTGCCTCACGAGTCCTCATAAACCATTCTTCTCATTGGTACTCATTTCCTTATCTGCAAAGTGGGGCCACTGTGCTTTGAATCGGTTTCAACCCTTGTGTCTTTAGTTTCTGAGGTTCCAGGACCAGGGCTGAACTAGCAGTGACAGGCAGGATGGGACCACGGGGGGAGGCAGAGGCGGGCGGGCGGGGCTCTTCAAGGCTGTGGTGGGGGGGCGTTGGAAAGCTCGGAGGCGATCTGACTGCCAGTCTCCGGCAAAGGCTGACGTGACCCTCAGTGGGTTGGCAATAGGCTCTGAGGTGCAGTGGAGCTGGGCCCGCGTCCCCGCTGATCAGGGAAGTTGGAATAACCAAGGCTGAGGGCTTCTCCATGCCAGACGAGGTGCTACGCACAGTCTCCGCATCATCTGGTGCTCTCAACAGCCACGTGGTCTCGGCACTGTTATCAGCACCACCTTAGAAAGGGGGAAACCGGGCCTTAGAGGGGCTAAGTGGCTTGCCCGGGGTCTCGCAGCAGTGAGTGACGTGACCGAGGCTTGAAGCCCTTGCCTGAACCATGCTACAGTTCTAATGTATTTTGCTTACCAGCTCTGTGACTTGAGGCTTAAGTTTCAAAAACAAAATGTTTGTTTTCTTGATTGATAATTTTTAAAATATATTTATTTATTTTTAGAGAGAGAGGAAGGGAGGGAGAAAGAGAAGGAGAGAAATATCAGTGTGTGGTTGCCTCTCATGTGACCCCCACTGGGGGACTTGACCTGCAACTCAGGCATGTGCCCTGACTGGGAATCGAACCAGCGACCCTTTGGTTCGAAGCCCGCGCTCAATCCACTGAGCTACACCAGCCAGGTTGATCAATAATTTTTGTAAAACTTAAGGTTCTTCATCAAACCTCTGTGAGTCCTGGTTGTCCGATCTCTGAAATGGGCGTATAATGCCTACCTGTGGGGTTGTTGGGGGGGGAAGAGGAGATGAGATACGGAAAGCATCCCACACTCCCCTTCCTCCACACCCCTGCGCCTGCCTCCCTGCCCTAGGGCTGCTGTGGGGGAGGGGACACACTGTAAAGTGGCTGGGAAGCACTCGGCCACTGCACTAACACTGACCTGGATCCCCTGGTCTCCGGCTCACCCTCACACTTTCAGACTGTGTTGCTGGCTGGCCAGGGGTTTTCCAGCTGGAATCCAAGGCAGGGTGGTCAGCTCCCAGAGGCAGATAAGTCAGGGCCAGGCCAGCTGGATGGTGGCAGAGGAGTGACGAGGCCTGGGACCTGCATGGTCTTTCTCTGCCCCTGGATAGCGCCTGTGCCCTGTAGTTCCCCGACTCGGCCAATGGCCAGCCTGGGCCATAATCGTCGTTGTAATCCGCCTGGCAGCAGCCGTGCTGATCCCCACAGGAAACTGCTGCCTTATCACAGAGCCTGGATCTTGCGTGGTTTTCTCAATCAGAAGGCTCTGGAGTGAGTCGGAAAAAGCTTAACTTCCTCAGGACCTTTCTGCTGCGGATGTTTCTCTAATCAGGAAGCCGTGGGCCTGCGTAAACAAAGGGAAAGAATCTCTTTACACACAGGGAAAAGAAGCAGGTGCGCTGTCGTTCCGGGGTCACCTTTAGGAGGGTGGCCGAGGGAGCAAAGTGATTTAGCCTTGTTCCTCTTGTGAGTCAGGAAACAGATCAATGTCTAGGGTCCCGGGGAAAATACAAAGATGACCATATGGCCACAGGCAGACAGGCCTCTGCCGTTTCGGGAACCATTGAGTGGGGTTTGGCACGGCCGAGTCCCAGCTCTGCCCATGCAGTAGCTGCTTGACTCCAGGTGCTTGGTTTGATCCCCAAGAGCCTCAGTTTCTGGCAAACAGCATGCACCTTCCTGGGTGGCTGGGCAGGTGAGGAAACTGCCAGCAGGCACACCTGTTTGCTTTGAGTGATGGCAGTGCCCTGGAATGGTGTGGCCTCCCAAGGTGACCTCCTAGAAGAGGCTTAGGCTCTTGAGATGTGAGAGCGAGGTGTTTGTGATCGAACAGTGGGGTTACCCTGGAGACACATACCTCTTCCCATGCCTGGTCTAAAAATGGTCTGAGTTCAGGGCCTGGGTTGTGTCAGCTCTCTGTTCTGACACCCTGGGGTGTGAGGCCACCTTGGGTATGAACAGTTCTTCCTTTATCCATGGTTTATACTTGACCCTGATGATCTCTACTGGACCCTTTCTGGAGATAATAGCCAATATTCCCCACAACTCAAGAAGCAAGTATTAATAAAGTTTTTATAGGTAAGGATGACTGGGGTTCGGAGAAGTTGTGAATTACTCTAGGCCTCCCCTCTAAAAAGTAGCTAGTTTAGGACACAAACACAGTGCTCCCGCCCCAACAACTGTTTGCATAGCACCTCACAGCACCCACAGTGCTAAGGAGGCACCCTGCGTGCACCCATAGTTGTATCCCACAGCACCATGGTGGCTTCTTCCTATGGTGCCAATGACAGCACCTGCACCGTGGCCCCCTGCAGGGCCCTTATAGGCACCTGTGGTGTTCCTGAGGTACCCACAGGCTCAGCGTCACCCCATGGCACTCACGGTAGTGCCCCCAGTGTCCAGACGTCCTGCATGCCCTCAGTGACACTCCGCTGCCCATGGTGGCACTTTTCCTGTGTTCTCCAGCCAGCCTCACATGCAGCTCAGGCAGAAAGGGAAGTCCCTGGTGTCTTACGTCCCAGCCAGCCCCCTGCCACAGGCTGAGTTAGGAAGCGTAGCCAATAGCTAGGAAGCACCGGGATCTTCCTCCTGCTGAGATCTGACAGCGGGATCTTATTTAGGTCACTGATCCAGTTCAAGTTAATTTTTGTAGTATAGGGTGTGAGGTAGGGGTCCAGCTTTTTTCTTGGGCACATGGTTATCCAGTTGTCTCAGCACCACTTGCTGAAGGGACTGTTCTTTCCCCATGGAATAGTCTAGGCACTCTTGCTGAGAATCAGTTGGCCATAGATGTATGGGTTTGTTTTGGGGTTCTCAGTTCCATTCCAGTGGTCTCTATGTCAGTCCTGATGCCAGCACCATGCTGTGTTGAGTCTACAGCTTCATGTGTAACTTTGGGAGGAGTGTTAGTATATTTTAAAGCTCCCCGGTTGAGCACTACTGGTTTTTAGAGGAGGATGGAGCGCTGTTGAGTGGCCAGTTAAGGGCCTGCTGGAATGGTCCAGGGCAATGCGGAGGGAGAGGATGTAGCCCTGAAGCAAAGCGGCGACCATGGAGGTGAAGCCATTATGGAGATGGGAGCAGTGAGTGAGGAAGATGTCTTGGTCCTCCCTGATTCTGGGAAGGCCTTGGGGATGACGAAGGAGAGAACAGAGGCCAGTGGTCCAGGTTAGCTTGGTGAAACTCCGACCCACACCCGACATGGTTTGGAGGAAGCCCTGGGTCCCAGTCCCAGCTCTACTTCACTGTGTGGCCCCGGGCAGGTGGCCCCACCTCTCTGAGCACCCTCATTGTCTCCGTAAGGTGGGTCAGTGTTCTCTGCTACTAGTGCAAAAGGTTGGGCGTGGGTCAAAAGGGTCAGCTCTACAAAGGCTGAAGGACTTAACTGAATGCTTGGTAGACTCCCCAGCCCAAAGCTCCTGCCAGGTGGGCGTCAGCCTAGCCGCCTCCGGGGACTCGGGGCTCCCGGCCTCCACTGCAGCCTGTGCCACCTCGGGCTGGCTCGGCTGGCTCTGCTAGGTCAGAGTGTCTCCTTGTGTTGGACTGACATCTATTTTCTTGTACCCTCCCTGTTCTTCCCCCAATTCTGCCATTTGGGGCTGCATGGCTCCTTTTCCTCCAGGATCTCCTGCATCTGCACCCTGTACCTTCTCGTCTGCTGGCTGAAAGGTCGTGGTCACCTCCACCTCCCTCTGAGGATGCAGAAGGGAGAGCATAGCTTTGGCATTAAATGGATTTTAGGGCTGTTTTGTAGCGGGTTATCAGCCTGGGCAGTAACTCGGTTCACTCTCCTGTTGGGGGAGGAGGGTCACCGCAGTTGCAGACTCGTAGTCAGGACCAAGATGGCGTATGTCAGGCGTGTTGTCCACGCCCTGGGAAGGGTCAGCGTTCCAGAAGGTGGATGTAGCTGCCATTGCCATCTGCACACCACCCTTCAGTTCTCTCTAGTTCTGACTGGTGGGGCACAGGCCCCGAGTGTAAGCCCAGGAAGGGGCAGAAGCCCCAGGCCTCATCGCGCTTCCTGCTTCCCCCTCGCCCTCCGGCTGGGACCTGGGACGAGGATGACGGGTTCTCACCACCCCAGTTTCCTGCTCACTCAGCCCGACTTCTGCCAGAGCATCTGGCCTCAGGCCAGCCTCACGT